TAAAAGAAGGGAGAGAGAAAAAGAGAAATTAAATATAATCTAATCCAGATTATATATAATATAAATATAATCTAATCTAAATTATATATAGTGTTTGCGAATTATTATCAAACTCAATCATTTTGATATTTTGTACAACATTGAGGAGAAGTAAATATATGAAGTTATAAATAATTATCCGATTTTGTAGAAATAAATTTGTATTTTTAAACGAACCAAATATCCTTTATCCATGCATGCCATACATGTTATGTATCCCAGTTTAATTCTTCATCATATCATCGATCGTAGGAGAAGATTGTAGGAGATACAGAACAATATGTTTGACTCTAAACAATCTTATATGTTTCCGCAATTTTATTACAATATCTTTTTTCTCCCTCTTCTTAAAATACAATACGCACTAATAACTTGTGTAACGACAAGACCTGACATCCGCGCGGATGCTCCAACATAAACGTCAATATTTTCAGAGCAAGAACAAGCAGCGATCGATTGGAGACAAATTTTCTTTGTCTTCCTCGTGACAGAATATCATCGGTTCTTTTTATATCACAATGTCCCCGAGCTATTGGTATAATAATAGGTGCGCTGATTGTATAATCTCTCGTATAACGCTCGAGCGAGCTATGCGACGCGGTGCAATCCGAGCGGGAAGTCGCGGTTTCACGCGTAGCAGCTTTCAAAAGCGATCTCCAGGAGATCCTTGCGAGGGAAACCGGTCGAGAACATGCGCGAGAAGAGCGGAAAGAGATATCGCGTTTCTTCACACATTGTAGAAGAGATCGCACGAGTTTGTGCACACTCTGTCTTATTTTCTTTACTTTAGGTACCTGGAACTTGAACGTGAATTTACTAAAAATCCTAATTATTATACATTTCAATTCGCAACTCACTCGCGAGATTATCGACCTAATTACATCTTGATCGGTTAATTAAAATGAAAAATTAATTAAAATGAAAAATTGAATTATTTTTACTTGTAATTTTCCCTCTCCCTCTTTTTCTTGGCAAGTAACATTATCATACGTAACATCCTATCGTTTTTTGGAATTTCGTTTACTTACGATGATCATCATCGACACCCTCTTGGACGAAACCTTCGACTTCTCGGCCGCCGCGACCGCGACTGAGCTTGCGCGACGCACCACTTTCGCCGTCCGTCGTCGCTCTCGCTTTCGTTCGACTGCTGGGAGAGGGTCGACGACGCGGATGAGACGTCGCGTCTGGGTCTGGGCGCGAGTATCGACGGCGAGGAACGACGGCCGCGACGTCGCGACGCGCAAGCGTCGCTTCCGCCTCCTCGAGTACGCGCTCTCGTTTTCGACGTTGCTTTAAGGGGAACGAACCGAGCGGGATGAACGAGATTCGAGACCGCCGAGAACGGACAGATGTTAATTATCGATCTGGGCGAGCTCCGGATTCTGTCTGACTAGTAGTGTAATAGTACATTGTCCAGATATGTAGAGTACCTATTTAAATGTTTAATTGTACAAAAAATTCTCTGATCTTCCATATTTCTTCGCTCAAAATTGCAAGTAGATTTTTTAGGTGCAATTTTTTAAAATAAGCTCTTTTGCTAATTGTAAGTGTGTCTTCTAGTGCTTTTTCATTTAAAGTTTCATTCAAAGATGTGCTAAAGAAAATTGAATAGCTTTTGTAAGACAAACATTTTGCATAATATTTTTACTTTTTTAATAATATATTTTATATTTATAATATATTTTTTAATAAATTTTTTAATAAATTTATAATATATTTTTTAATAATATATTTTTTCATAATATTTTTTATCACTAAAAGTTATAATAAAAAATATGTCTTGCATGACACGTATTGCGTATTTTATATTCGATTAAGACATTGAATATAAATAGAAGTAAATATGTATTTGTATTATATTTTAAATATATATAATATATATGCAAATTGATGAAAATTGCTCTCTTTTGAAATTTCCTGAATCATATCTTTAATCTTAACATCTTTAATCTTTACTTTAGCAAAAAAAATATTAAATAACTTTTATAAGATTTCTCGAAAAAATATTAATAAATCAGTAATTCGGATTAATTTCATATTACGATATTAATATCATTTCATGTCATACTCGTTTACGATAAGAATTACATTACTTAATATTTCACTTTTATATATAATTATATATAATTTACATATATAATTACATATAAAATATATATGCCACAATACATACGATTGCGATGTACAACCGCCTGCGAGCGTTTCCGCTTCCGGTAAGAGAGCCAACGGACTGGAAGCCTGTACTTTTTGTTTCGGATGAAATCGAGAGTAAAGGAAAGAATCAGGAAACTGAGAGAACGTATATAGGGGTTAGCGACGCGGAGATGGGGGAAAAAAAACATTCGGGAGAACGACGGGAGACCGGTCGGGAAATAATGTCGGGATCTGCCAACCATCTTTCAGCCACAGGATAGGACCACCGCCCCGAAGGAGAGAAAGGGATGTTTTATATGGATCACGATATTCTCCTCGCTCTCTCCTCTCTTCGGGAGCGGTTTTCCAGGTCCGGCACGTATCACGAAGCCGCGGGAACCGAAAGAGGGTAACGTTTGCAGTACGAAAGGGGAGAGGAAAGGAAGAAGGAAAAGTAAAACTCGTTTTATTTGTTCTTCCAATAGCACGAGTTCTGCTTTCGGTAGCAGGGCAACATCGTCGACGAATTCATTCAGAGGAGAGGAGAGGGGTTAACATCTTTTTGATGAAATATTCGCAGATGACAACTCTCTTTTTCCTCTATTCTGTTTTTTAATCTTAAAAAAAGAGAAAAATAGTAGCTTTTTACAGTTGATAATTATTTTATTATTACGTATCGAACTTCTTTAATCAGTTGCTCTCAAATTCTTTTATAAAATAAAATTTAATATTATGTGAAAAGATATATTGCAATATTAATCTCGAAATTTCACAATGAGTTATAATAAGTATTTTTATTAAACTTTTCTGTGACTGCTATAGTTTGCAGGAAAGGGTAATATAATATTAAAAAATTTTTCCGGAAAACAGAGACAAGAGATAAGAGATGTAATAATCTGAAATACAATTCCCCTCGGTTCTTAAAAGTAGCACTACTCAAATACCAGCCGCGTTTGGTCGGAGTACTTTCGACACACATGCGAAAAGCGTGAAAGGGTGAGGAGAAAGCCAGTTTGTTAAAAGAAAGAAAAAATGTAGAAAAAGCAGAGATCTCCCGGCTGTCTCCTCGTGCGAATTTAACCCTTGAGTGGTACAGCTATTCGAAATAGAATGCGAAAAATACAATAAACAGAAAAAATTTAGAGTCCATAAAAATAGAAGATTAAAAATTGTAAAACAAATTTTAGAACCGTCAAAGTGAAATAAGTTTCTCAAACGACATGCATATCTTTATTATATCTATTTTGTAAAATTTTAAAAAAGCGAACTCTTTTATAAAATTTAAAACATTGTATAAGAATAAAAGTAATTTTGTATTTAAAAAAAATATTTAAAATTTTATTCATAATATTTATTGAATATGCGCTATATTTTGATGCAAACATTTATTAAAACTTAATTATAATTAACAAATTTCATTTCCAAAATAAAATATCAAACATTAATAAAAGTTATTTTTTACATAAATCAATATATAATGATTCTATGTAAATAATTTATCTATTATCTATTAATTTATCAATAATAATTAAGAATGATTTAATTATACATATTTTCGTCTTCGGCAATAAATTTTACCTTTTTTTAAATATAATTACAATTATTCATGTTTTTGAACGTCTCCAATCGAGGATTAAATTTGCGCCCAGAGAAAAATCAAGGGAACACTTACCTTGCGTGACTGCTTCACAATATTTGCTGGAAATAACCGGAAGTAATCTGTCCGCAGTAGCGGGTAATAATTTATATGTCCGACTAAATCGAATAACGATCGCGAAAATCAATGTGCTGCCTTTAGCATATAATTCATGTTCACTGTCACATCGAGCATATTAATTTAAAAAAATAATCGATTTATTAAAATTTTTTACGGAATTATTATTAGTACACATTTATTTTTTTATTTATTATGGTAATTATAATCATCGTTATCAATAACCATCGCCAACTGTTTAATTACACCTAATATATATATTCACGACATATTATAATTTTCTGTGACATGAATATTACAAATGATGAGAAAATAAATTCTTATTATCGAAAAAATATACGAAGAAGAAAAATGAAATAAATTGTTAATCACGATATTTTTTTTAAATATTAAATCAATAATAAATGCATAATAATTTTGAGCGATATTTTTTTCAAATTTTCAAGCAATATTATTTAATAATCACATGAGGGAAATGTCTTAATAGAACAGGTGATGAAAAACGCGATAATTGTAATGGAAATTAATTTCTCACGTAATAACACCACGGAATTAATCATCGGGGACATTCTATTAAATTCTACGAACCTTGCGCATTTACTATTGCATATGACACAATTTTGTAACATCATCATAAGTTTGGGCAATCGGCAAAATGCGGAAATAATTTCGTTGTTACTTTTTAATTTCCTTTTCAGTAAAAAGCAACGGTATTTGATGATGCAATAGATGTATAATTTTTTCTCTCAAATTATATTACATTTTTTTTCAGGCATAAAATATATTTTTAAGAGAATTTTCGAAAAATTAAAATTTTTAATAAAATTTTAAAAATATTATATAATAATAGAAAATATTATTAAATTCATTAAATTTTAGAGAAATTTAAGCCACTCGATTTTCAAACATACATACTCCATGGCCCCATCGATATCCATCGGGAACTGAGCCCGGTCGAGGCACAACTTAATCAAAAATATTTTCCTTATATCTTTCACGAAAAATATAAATGGCAACATATTTCATGCGAGAAACGATAAGCGAGATCGAAGGTACTCCGATATTGCGGAAGAAAAGTAGCACACAAAGGTAGACAGGTGATAAATCCTACCTTAGGATGTAGTTGACGCAAACAACGGAGATCGGTTTCTGTTGCTTGGAGCAATGGATGAGGGTGGCTTGAGTGACGACCCAGGCGTAACCGCCCCGTTTCCCGAGGAATCTGTAGGCCACAGTCTCGCACTGACCCTTGCTGAACACTGAAACAGTAAGCAACGATGATGATGAGAGTGCGGTCGTTCCAGGACTCGGGACAAGCGAGCGCAATCGCGCGGCTTTATAGCAGCGTCGCGCGCGTTTCGGCTGACGAAAGATGCGACATAGGATTGCAAACTCTATCCTCCAATCGATAAGCAGAATTGTTGAAAGCGACAATTAAAATAACCGAAAAAGTGAGAGGTATTTTAACTACATTGATAATTGAACAATTTGTTTTCGCAGAACGAAATTTTCAATTTTCTTACAAAAAGATATCGCGTAGATCTATAAATCATACTTCTTTCTATAAATTATACTTTAAAAGATAAGTTATACTTGCAAAGATTATTAAACATTATATGAAATAATCCAAATATTGGAATATTATTAAATTAATATTATAAATAATATATAAGAGTTGTAATATGTTATTTTGATAATATTATTTAAAAAAAATTATTCATTAACTTATTAGAATCTATATAGAATATTATTTAATTATACGAATAATACTTAATATCTTCATACAACCTATTAAAAAAATTACTAAATTCATTAATTGATCATTCCATAATAAACAAAAAAATAACAAAGAAATAAAAGCGTTTCTAATTTTGCAAGAAGATTAAAGAACACAAAAAAGATATATCAGACATTTTATTGCAGTTTCAAGTCCCGTCGCAAGATCATTTCGCAAATTCCGCCTCAAGGGTAGTTTCTTCGAGAAACGCAATATCTCGTTGCTTCTAGGAAAGAGAGAGAGGAGAGAAAGCGGATGAAAATATATCTTCACGTCCCTTCGTTCGCGTAAAACGTAACCCGGGGCGAGATTAGTGCAAAGCTGATTCGGTCGGAAAGCCGAAGTTGGTTAATGTTAAAGAGGAGGGGATCCTCGATGTCGCGGATTGCCGGAACACGTAAAGCTCCTAAAGTGGTTAAGTCGTCCTTTACGATTCCTATATCCTTCCAAAAACGAGTGTTCGATAAATAGTTGGGAGTATATACCTATAAAACATGCGCGTTTTATACATAAAGAGTTATACTCAGGGTGTCGTCCTATCAATATCGGATTCATCAATGAAAAAATTCGAAATTTCTATATATTATTAGAAAACATTTATCTGTATTATTTTTTAATTTCTAATTTATAACTTAATATTTGAATATATTAATTTAAAATAATTTATATATATATTTTAGCGATTAAATATTAGATAAAATTAATTAGAAAATTATTTATTAAAATAATATTTAATTATTTCTTAAATTTAAATTCTTTTGATAACAATTATAATAATTGCAATATTATTACACTATTGATATGTAGCACAATTGTTCGATATATTAAAATACTTGTTTTTTTTCTCTTTTTCGATTATATCAAAATGTAGAATATATATATATATATATAGTCGATAAATATTTTCCAATATTTTTTATGGCCTTGCACTTTGTCACTGTGTTTCATTTTCCATTACATATTTACCTGCGATTTTACGAGTCAATTACCGAAACCGGTGAGATAAAGGCGATCGCGTAATCGCGCGTGCGCGCAGATGGTCCGTAAATAAAACGTGTCTAGTGAGACGCGGCAATTGCATAACTGATAGCCGATAACGTTAGCTGTGTGTTAGCGTCTACGGCCCTTGACGATTATAAAAAGGGTCTTCTTCGTCGGGTAGCGCCGCGATAAAAGAGATACGATCGTCCTTGAAACCTTACTCCTCTGCGGTGTCATTCACCCAGGTCGATCCATGGTGTATAGTCCGTTTCTCCCCTCTCTTCTCGTTGCCACACGCACACAGATCTCCTTCCAATATACGTTTTTTATGTTCGTTTTTTATTGCTATCACGATTAGCTTCCGTGTTATTCGCGTAGCGAGTAATATCTTGGAAAAGATTGTCAGATAAAACGACAATGCGATATAATTTATGTTTAACGGACTAATTTTATATTTCAACCTGTATGATTTATAATATGTATGATAAAATGTCTACATACAAAATACAAAAAGACAATTTTCTTGGAATTTTAAAATCTGTTTTCATTGAAATTTAAAATTACAAGAATGATTAATACGTGATTTTATTTCATAGAAATATATAGCAAAAATAGAAATTTCTATAAAAAGAATTTAGTAATAATAGAAATTTAAATACAGTAAGAAAGTTATTAATAGTAAAAATTTATTAATAATAATTTAATATAAATTCAACAATTTGCAAAAATCAACAATTTGAAGGAAAGACATGATCTAAGCATCGAAGATACTCAAATAATGGTTCCTAAAGAATTTTCCCAAGTATACATTGGTAAACGTATTCGAGTTTTGCTAAGTATTAATTAATAAATGTAAAATTAATTGAGGAAATAATACTTACAACATTTGAAACACTTATCCAGCGCCAGATTGTCAAGTGCGTGGTAAAACTCGAAGACAGATCGACCCATCAGTTCTTCGCTGTCCCAGCCCAGATATTCAGCCAGTCTAATTATGAAATAAAAATATTTAAAAAATATTTCTAATAATACAACGCAAAACGTTTGATAATAAAAACTTAATTTACATTTGTTCAAAATATTAATATATATATATATATATATATATATATATAATATATAATATTATATATATATATAGGTATATATATTTATTTATAATACAACGCGTCATAAGAAAACTACACTCGAATCATAATCTTACGATAAAGCATGACGCAACTTATCAAATAACGATAAGATTAATAAAGTATTTTGATCGATCTTGTACTGACATTATGCAAATCTCAATGACTAATCAAACTATTAAACTGACAAGTCCAATTGTCACTATTGGAAATAATTTACAAATGATTAAATTTATTGAAAATTGATTATAAATATATAAATTGTAGGAACTGGATTTTTTACAGTTTTAAAAACGTCAAAAAGTCAATCGGAATAGAAATGCATGAAAATATAAATGAAAGTGTAAATGTTTCCACTTACTTTTCATCAGCATAGGTGAACTTCATGCTGAGACTGTGTTTCGACAGAAAAGTATGGCGTCCCAAAGGTATTTCGATGTTACTGGGATGAGGTATGGGACTTCCTACGAGCACTAGAGATGCGCCGGTGTCTTGTTCGGCGAGTTCATCCTCTTTCTCTTGCTCCTCATTATCAACTTCCATGGAGTTCGAATTCGAGTCGCGGATGTATGTTAGTCTACCGGTGCAATGGATCACCTGTAATTCATGAAAATCATGTGTATATTACATATTCATCATTTTCTAGAATTGCAAAATCAAAACAAAATTATACAATCAAAACTACTCGACTAAATTTCATGAAAATGCATTATATAGTAAAAGAATGAAGAATTTAAAAACATAAAAAATTTTTAATTAATTTTCAAAATTAATAAATGATTCGATCAAATTTTATTATAAAAATCATGTCCATAATATTATTGTATTTATATTAATTATAATAAGTACCGTTATAATAATTAAATTATTTGTTATTTTATTAATTTAAATTTTAAATTTTAAATTATAAAATTGGCTCTTTTTATATCCTTTTTTAAAATCCATTAAAATATTAAAGTCCTATATCGTGCTCAAAGTATTGTACACATACACAATTATAGTAGGATTATTAATATAAAGGGAATATAAGGCTTTACCTTATAGGAGGCGCTCTTTAAATTGACCTTTCTACCCTTATTGGTGAGAGTACACTTGAGCCGCAGGAAGAAGCTGCAGGCACGTTTCTCACTCTTGTCCGTCGGTTTCAAGGAGAGGCACTCACGCAATTCGTCATGATCGCAGGGATGACTGTATTCGTATACACTTTGCCCCATCATGTCCATCTGCACAAAACACAACCCGCAAAAGATACATATAGAAATCTGTCGTCAAGTTTTATTCCTCGCAATGCTAGATTATAATAAAAAGTTAAATGAAGATTACAAATATATCTAATTCGATTTTTTCTTATAAATTTGGCTATATTTAAAAAAAAATTAATTATTATAATGTATTTTCCACGTTTTATCGTTTTACATGTTAAAAAATTTTTATTTAATTATTAAAAACAAAAATTAAATAAAAATTATTTACGCCGAACAAAAATTCTGTAATTTTATCATCTTGCATAGTTTGTTTCTAATATTAGAACAATGTTTTTAGATTTATCTGACATACTTGCGACACTCCGAGATAATCACTGACATTCTCCGACAGGTAGACCATATTGCCATCACTGGAGAGTACTAGCATAAAACCGTTGAGAGCTTTCGGAAATAGTTCATCTATCTCTGCGGCCGATTCGGATTTTGTCAACGAAGCTGGAACTTGTATTAATAAAATCGACAATTTAATCATTTATAATTGTATTTTTTACTTAATTTTTTAAAAATTGTAAAATTCTAATCTTACAATTAGATCTGTATTAGATCTGTTGAAAATATTCATGGAGAGTCAAAGCAGTTACACGTAATCAGTAATATATTTAAAAATAAGTTTTTATAAAAGTTCTAAAATCTTATCTCTGAATAATATAAATATCTTCAAGAGAGAGCGTATTCTTAAAATATATTATATAAAATATATTTAAATTATTAAAATATATTTTATATATTTCGTTTTAACATACTTTCTATAATTAATTAACTATTGCTCTAAACATCGCTATCATCGTCCTTCATATCATCACGGTTTTATCTTAAAATTAAAATGAAAATAACACATTTGAATGTACTTTTAAAGTGCTTATGCTTATAGATATCTAAAAATTCTTTTGCAACAAATATTTTTATAATGTTATTTTTTATGTCGCTTTCCAACGTTATTCTGATCTTTATACTCACTGGAATCCACAACGGACCGGACTTTGAGGTAAGCAATCGCTAGCCTCATTACGCTGGCCTTATCTAAGTGCGCTGCCTGTTCCGGCGCGACCGGAAGCGCGGCCGCGAGTTCGGTAAAGATGTTGGTTTCCTTGCTACGTCTGTGGCGCGCTGCATCGCGGGATCTTTCCTTCCTTTTCTCGTTACTCCTACAACAGGAAAGGAAAGTTTTCTTCATATCAAGTGTTTATTATCTACGAAATAAATTATCCGATATCACTTTCACGGATGCACAATCGGAAATTTTTAAATATAGTTTATAAATACTGATGGATATCAAACATAAGTCTTGGAAAACAAATCGTAAATTATTGAGAGAAAGTATTTAAGAGAATTATTTTTATTAATTTCTCGCTAGTTTAAAATAAAAAAGAATTTTAAAATTAAAAAATTTTTTTTCTGGAAAATTAAAAAAAAAAGGAATTTTTATAATTTAAAAAGATAAACAAATATATATCCATAAATTGCATGTAAAATACTAAGAGAAATGATTAAAAAATACATATATACATAAAAATTTATATACACATATTTATAGAGTATGTGTACACTTCTTTTGCAAAGTTTATTTGTGTTTAATTTTTATTTAATGTAAAATATGAATCACGAGTGAACGGAGACCCCTTCTGTTAACTATCTTCTATTAGATTTCTTTTTGCAAATAGACATCCTGAAGTGCCTCGTGAGCGAGTGCAAAGTGTCACGTCGAGCGTACATTATCACGCACGATAAACGCTCTCGTTTTCCGGAATTCTCGTTTTTCTAGAAGGTCATCATTGCTTACTTGGCACAATATTATACGCTATACGTTCTACGTCGGTTACACGAGAACGTTAATCGTCTATCATAAAAGGTTTCGGACACCGTTCGATTCGCGAATACAAAGTGCAATTATTAAGCGCGAATGGGCGTGTGTATATAATCAGATACATTTAACAGAGATAACGTTTTTAATTCGATATCAATCAAACTCGAGTTATGCCTAGCCTATTGAAATTTTTTTTAGTAATCTTACTTTTAATAAGAAAAAGAAACTGATTAATAGATAATTTTCAAGTAAATAATAAATCTTGATAAATCAAATCACAGACTTTTCCTCTTTCCTATTTTTCCCCTTCATAACAATAGAGAGACAGTTTCTATGAAACAAAAATACGAGTATCTGAAACAGATAACGTTTCAGATATAAAAAAAGTCAAGGAGAAAGTCGAGGAAGAGATTGCGCTCGTCGAGAAAAATGTTTGATCAATTAATGTTAGCATTTGATTGCTATTGTTGTCGTCACTGCACCTGTCCACCTGGCAACTCGAATCGGTGCATCCTTTCCAATTCCCGGTCGAAACGGAAAATGTCAGCGTTATCGCGAAGCGAGGTGTTATCATCGCGCGCGGTGAATCGACCTTCGAACGATACACGTCTTTCGAAATCGATCTTGTCACGTTTCTTCCCCTTCGCCTCCCTCCCGCCGTTAGCGATCTGTTAATCGAAGCCAAACTGATCTCACGAAACGTCTAGCATGATTAAACAATGCGGGAAATACTTAGAGAAAAATAATACGCTCAACTTTCATTTTCTTTTTTAATTCCTTTTTGACTCTGAATTTTGACTCCTTTTTCTATTTTAATTTTTAATGTAAAATTAATGTTATATATTAATATTATTATGTTACATATTATTATTATGATATATTATTATTATTATATATTTATATATTTATATATATTTATATATTATTATTATTATTATTATTAATATTATATATATATATATATATATATATATATTATTCCATATTATATATTATTATTACATTATTATTATTATTATTAAATGATGAAGAAAGTGATTTAAAAAAAATTCAAGAAAAAAATTGATTGTAAATTTAACAAGATTAATATCTAATCGTTTTACATAAATCATTAAAATTTTAGGTAGAATTATATTAAAATTAATATTTATTTTCTTCTTTCGATTAAAAAGATATTTATAAAAAAATTAGTCCCGGAAGAGCATCTCAAGAGAAATTAATTAAAGAATGATTAATACAGAAGGATTAAATTCCAAAAAATCATCATTCATTCCTTGTGACATATTCGCCGATCGTGGCATTTAATCTCGCGAAATAACAAAACGATAAAAATGACAGGCATTATAATGATCGCCGACTTACAAATAATCCTCTACAAGCTGTTCGTCATCCGCGTAATCATAATGTATATCGTTGTAAGTATGCAGATTCTCGTACAAGCACGGTGGTAGGACGGGGGCACCGTGAGCATACGAGGTGTCGTAAAGGGGGCAGCGATCGCTCGCCGGACATCGCAACCATCGTTCCTCGCTGCAGAAATTAAACAATTCCGGACAATCGTTGCAGAGCCAATCGTTGGACCACTTTGGATTATCGCTGCGTTCTAGATCGCTTCGTTCCAGTTTCGCATCGTACACGAACGGTGTATCGCAAAACCGCGACAGATTGGCGTATCCCGAGTCCTGGAATCGTGGATTGTCGAATTTAAATCCCAGATAGCAAGATCGCGGTTCGACGAATCCCAAGTCGCGATATGTCAGATCTCCGGTATTGTTTAGATCATTAGCAGCGGTTAGATCATGTGGATCAACGGATCTTAGATCGCACGGTCGTGGATCGCTGGGTCCTAGAGCTGGGCAAGAGCGTAGATTGCAGAAATCTAGAAAGCGACAATCGTCCTCCTGTCGAGGCTGATCTATCCGCGCGGTCTGCCCCTGTTTCGGCCTCTTCGAGTAAATCGCGCGATTAATCGGCATCGAGGACGGTTTGCACGAGTTTTGCATCTGGTCGAAGTACTTTGCGAGATCCTCGACGTCGATCGGTCCCGATTGGCAGCTCCTCGGGACGGTCGTGTTCTCCGATTGTCGAGGGCCAACCAAGTGACCATTATTGTTGCCGGGCAACGTCCCCATCAGATCGCCGCTTGCGACATTGCGTGTCGTTGACGCAGTATTACATATTGTCGCCGGCACAGCATTGCATGCCACGGTGCGATTAGCATCCTGCGCATACGTAGCGCATCTCGTCGTCATGCAAGATGTCGTCCCGATATCGTAAGCTCGTGATCTATCGGTACCTGACGTCACGTTGGAGGAGGGTGCGGTGCAAATATTGTTACGCAAGGTGTCCATATTGCCGAACATGACCGCTGGACCGCAAGACGGCGACGATCCGTGGGATGGGAAATTGATTTCATCTCGTCTTCTCACGTTACGCTGGTCGAAATTAGTATCGTAACCCATCTTATCGATCCAGACATGATTGCCCGAATCGTTACCGATCTGTCCCGTTTCTTCTCCGCCACCTTCTTCTGCTCCTAAGCAATACAAACGTGCGTTCATTGCTCCTGTTTGATTTTAAGTAGCACTTCTAATTATTAAAATCTAGCTTGTAACTTCCTTTGCTTCTCTTTTCTTCAGTTTTTCCTTTATTATTCTTGAACTGCCTCTCTTCATTCTTGATTCAGGATCTTCTCATAATTATGTAAATCTTAACCGTGGCTATTTTTCATTCTTAAAATATTCTCTTTTTTACTTCTTTGCTGTCTTAGAATTGATTTAATTTATCTTCACCAGTTAAATTTCGTCCTGCTTTTTTTCTTGGTGTCTTTTCTTTGTTGAGAACCTATCTCAATCGTGATTAATTTCTATGATACAATCATCTATGATACAATCATCTTTCTATGATATAATCTATGATACAATCATCAAGATTTATACGCTATTTATACGATTTGATTACGCTAATTTCGTAATTGTATTCAATCCGTATTTGCTGCTTTTTTTTTGACTAAAATACATTCGAGTTTACATTTTCTTGTTTAATCACTCTTCTAATTTTTTTTTCAGTTATTCTTCTTATTTTTTTCTTAACTTGTATGCTTTGCTTTTCCGATAAAAAAATTTTTTGGTCGCTAAAAGATTATCTTTAGCATTGACTAATTAATGTGCAATTAGTTCATATGAATTTCCATTATTCTGATATCGCTCTATTATTAACTAATGCTTACCTATTTAGAAATCTTACCCTTTTCTTCTCTCTTTCTCACTTCAGATTCTTCTTTATTTTTTGCCATTAAGAGCTTATCTTGATCATGTATGGTCCACGTGATCGATGTTGGAATTTCACAATGACAAGAGTGGGGGGAAAAGAAATATAAAATATCTAACTGTCACTCTCCTCTTTCTATGTCTGCCTGTATTCTTCCTTTTTTATTTATTTACTTTATATTTCTTATTTTTCATAAAGACTCGCCTTTATTTAAACTCATATATTTTATATTAATCATTAATTTTGCATTAATTTGATAGAAAAACAAAACTCACCCCTTCGATTCTATTTATTTATACCTGTTTTCTCCTTCTCCCTTTTCTTTATTGTGACAATCAAAATCTATCTTCTTCTTACTTGATTCTTTCGATTTGATAATAGAAATTTATCACCTACTTTCTTCACTTTTCTTCATTTGTCCTGTTCTTTCTTCAATTTTTTCAAACTGCTTGCAATTTTCCCGAAACAAATCACAACAATTTTTTTATATTTTATCTCTTATCGTTTTATTATCTTTCTCGCTTTATTTTATTCTTTTATTATAATCTCTCGATCGGCCTCCTTTTCTTTTTTATCTTAACAAAGTCCGAAATTAAATTCATTCAACTGAGGTCAATCGCATGTCATTGATTTGGTTTACAGATTCGTGAACAGTTCAAATCAGGGTATGATCGTCATTCCCCCCCACTTTTTCGGATGCCTTCTTCGATTTAACTTTTAATCCACCTGCACGGTTCGCGTGATACTAAAGATCGGTAGTAATGCGATGCTCCTCTTGGACGTTCAGTTTGATCGTTATCTAGCACGTCGATAAAGATATCATCGATGTGCGCGGTACAATAAAAATGCCGGGTACGAGCGCTTTCGAGATTTTGAATATATCAATTTTTTTTATTTGAGCATATCGATTTCTGATATTGCAGATTCGGAGATTCTTATAATTTTTTTTTATAATAAAATCAAACGTTAATTCATTACAAGTTGATATATAATGAAAAATAAGTTGTATATGTATTTTTTCTCTTTAATCTGATTATCTTATCTACATCCAACTCTCTAATTTACTTAAAATATTGATACAAATATGATATAATTATTTTAATAATTCTCAGGAAATATACGGATATCTTCAGAAAATACACAAGTATATATAATTATTATTTTAATAATAATATATTCAGAAAAAAATAAGTCTTTTATTGGGATAACATTATTAAAATAATGATGTATTATATGTATACACAAATAGATAAAATTTGTTTTCGAAATTAAGATTACAAACTTTCATATCTGAGATAATAATAATAATAATATGATATATAAGTAGTAATATTAATATAAGTAATAATAATTATTATTGCTCACGCATATATCAACGATTGTTATTTGTGCATATTTTCAGAGGAAAAATTAATCCGTAAAAAAAAATCTTGAAAAAACAACTATAGAAATAATATAAAAATAAATGAATGTATAGAGTACGATAATGATAAATTATCCACATTGAAAGATGCAGAAAAAAAAGAACGAAACAAAACAATGCAATTAACATACATTTGCATTATGTGGCACGCAGTTTCTTATTTTTGCGATTAAAAACCGCGTGAATAAATAACCAGGAATAAATAATTTATCCGACTGCCACTATTTTCGTAAATAATCAAAAAAATAGCAAAAATCGAAAACCTGCAATTAGGATTCTTTTTTTTATATTTTGATTATTCTATATATTCTCTAATGTGATATATACTAACAGAAAATATTAATGGAAAAAATTCCATAAATTAAAAATAATATTTGAAAGTAATAAATAAATAAATTAGAATGCTAAGATAGTTTGTTTATTTCATTGTATCTTTTATAAATGTAAATAAAATATATAGTCCATTCTACATGATCGCGTGTCTAATGACTTTCCGGTAATTTGAATGCCCGATGATCAATCGTAATTACGAGCGTTCCTATCATAGAAGATAACGCGATCCCCAGCAAGTATTGCGGGTACAAGAACAAAAGAAGCCATTGTGCGATATAACAGATCGCGCGATCATTTAAAAATCTTTTCTTCGCCATAATAAAATTATTTGCATGATCTATCATTATGGCAATTATGAGTAATGCATATCTTTTAATTGCTCACATAATCTTTATATAATGCAACTACTGAAAGTGCTACCGAGATGAAAATTATATCATGAATAATCATCATGATTGATTGAATTATATAGGGTGAGGCAATTAAAACAGGCTGTCTAAATAATTTGTAAATTATATATTTTATGAAAAATTATTACATAAATTTTAAGAGGATCATTAGGTTTTTTATAAATAGAGGTATTTTTCAGAGATTGAAGATCAATGTAATTTTTTCAAATGAAATTATCATAATTCGATTCCTCGCAAATTTTGGCGTAAAAAGTTATAAGGATAGGATGACCAAAAATTAAATTGTTTAATAGATATTTTTATAATTGTTTAATAGATATTTTTATAATTCACATCGTCTTGAAATATTTTAAATTGATCCCTTTGAAATTATACAATTTTTATATGTAAGAATTTTTCATAAAACATGTAATTTACAAATTATTCAGATAACTTGTTTTAATTGCTCTGTATATTTTAATTGCTTGTAATAAATGTTTCATACCATCTTTACATGGGTTTTTATAAATATTTTAATTTATTTAATGACACTTTCGTAGATAAAATAACTAGTATTTCCGAATGTGACATCGATATGCATACAATACTTTGCAATTTGAAAAGAGAAAACCGGAACATTTAAGAAAATATGAAACTCGTTTGGACAGGAAGCGATGCAGTTATTCTCATTGTGAGTTTTTATAGAACAACGCGTAACGATTTTTTCAAACCGCGATTATCTTCCATTCGAATTTGATGGCATAGTACAAATTTTTTATTTTAACAAAAGAAAAGGGAGAACTAGACTAATAAGAGCCAGGAATATTAAAAGCGCAATCAATGTTGGAGAAATTTTCACATAGATCATTTTTAAGTATAATGTATGTGAAAACAGAAAAATATTGAGAATATTCTGAATTTTATCACACAATCTTCTCTATTTTAATACATCCTAAGAAGAAGGTAAAAATATTAACCGAAACATCCACGGCAAGATTAAAAGGAACATTTTTTCAACAACATTCATCGCGTATTTTTATTAATGGCTTTTTAAGCTCAAATACTTTTCTTCTGCTCTTATATTATTATACTAAAACTTTATCATGTTTATTATGTTTTTATTTTATCCGACATTTTTTAGTTTTTTTTTCTACAAAAAATACTATCTATTAACATTGTATATAATAAATTATTTTAAAAAATAATGAACTCTATAGAAACTCTATTTATAGAAACAAACTGATAAGATAATTGACAGACTATAATATATGTTTATATTATTCATTTATGCATTTTTGTTTTCAGGACTCACTCGTAATGATTAACATGCACCAATAAAATGTTTATAGTTGAAATGACGAATAAATAAAAAATTTCCAGCATAAATATGTGTAAGTAGCAAAAAATCTATATAACCTATATAAATTGTCTATCTATAAATTTTTTAATCTATATAAATATTCTTTCTTACTGTAATATTTTATTTTTTATTTTGTAAAACTTATGAAAATCACGAAACATCTATTAAATTAAATTTTAAATTTTTTATATCGTTATTGTTATAGACAAAGTAAACTTAATACAGAGATTTATTAATTCTTACTGTTTTTATCAAGATATATTTACTTTGAGATATTCACTATATAGATTGAATCTAACAAGTTTTGTAAGTTGTTTATAAGTATGTATATATGATTAATCTGGGAAGAAAATTTTCCAGAAGGCCACTGTCTGTCATGAATACACGCTGTATAATCATCGTAGTGTATATAGAGTGTCCCACTTTTAACACATCATATTTGGACGATAAAATCCTTGACCAATTTGAGAGATCGTTTTTTCATTAGTGAAAGTGTGAAGTGTGTGTATGAAATTATCATATGCCACTTCCTTCCCATAATAATAAAAAATTGGTTCTATCTCTAAGAATACAGAACAAAAACAAGAATACAGAGACGAAAAATGAAATCCTGCTAAAATATACTCCTGAACAAAATTAACGCATATATTTTTTTTCACTTTTTCTTTAAAAGCTGATATTTAAATTTTAACGAAAAATTTTAAAGTGAAAAAAATTATGCGTTAATTTTCCAGGAGTACATATAAATTTGACTTAAAGAAATTAATTGCAATGACCATCAAGATTAAAAAATCTTCCTTTGCTTTTTCTCACTAATTATCCGAAACCCACAACTATCTCCCCGTCTGAAGGAAAGGTCAACCTTTCGAAAGAATCTGCCTCTGACAAATAATGCTGATAAAAGTAGAACGCCCTGTAGACGCACACACACATGTTAGCGAAATATCTAGCCCGGAGCGGAGAGAGTTCGCTCCCCTTGCTATCAAAGAAATAATTGTCACAGCAGACGCTTTAATCGACATAATAATCTTTTCGTCTTATATCTTTCCTCCTTTTTTCATCATCAATATCGAGCATGTAAAAAGATGCATTACAGTTTTTTTGTTGACATAGATACGTTATATTGTGTTGGACTAATGAAAAACATATGAATTACAATTTTAGTATTAATTTTACTCGCGATTAATTTTTTAAGCAAATTTATTTCGCTATGATATGTGAATTTCGATTAAAATCAACAAGGAGAAATCTTCCATTGATTGAAAAATAAATAAAATTTTTTTAGCAATATGATTGAATTTAATAATGTATAATTGTTATTATTTCATAAATTCAAAGTAAACTCGACAAATTGAAAAATTAATTACAAAAAAAAGAGTATTTACTGAGATTTAAGTAATAGAGTTTTTTATCCTCCAATATCAGATAACTTAAATAAACGTCGATTTAAAAAAATAAAATTCAAGTTTTACGAAAAATGATATTTTTACTGTCTCAATTTACACTGTAAGAATATAAATATATTCTATCCGCGATGAACACGAGATATATACGCGCACCTTGCGAGGGAAAGTCCAAAAAGGTGAACCAAAGATTTCGTAAGCTAGTTATGCAGAGAGAAGCTTTCTCTCGCTTTTTTTGTGATTATATGTATATGAAAAAGTAATGATACAATATGAAAAGATCTATTTCTTGCCTAATTTATGGGCTACGTGACGGAAAGTCCGAGTCAAACGATGATCATTCGGCGTCGTTATTATTATTATTATTTCGGGAACTCGACTAACAAAGATAAGTTTATACGAAAATGACGAGATATTTTCTACCGCTTAAAAACGTGCCATCGATGCATGCGAACGTGACGATTTTCACTGATCTTGCCACGACCGTTACACTTCGCTAATGGTTATCATATGACCCCTCTCGTGATTTCCTCATAATTTCCGAGCAGAACGTCTATTTTTGCGCACGAACGCGAGAAACGCTTGTGTCTCGCGAGGGCTCTTTGCATGATAAAAGCTTTCTGGACGGACTGTGTTTTTCTACAAACGTTCCTAAATCATCCGATATCTTGTAAAACAAATTTTTTTTAAGTCGTTTTTTATTTGATAATGTAATCACAAAACCGCGATAAAATAATGGCCTAAATTATTCTCGGTGAATTTACTCTGACTTTAAGAAATTTAATAATATAATTTGAACGATTAATTCGTGATTATTGAATTGATTATTACTGATACAATAATAAAATGTAAATGTACAATTTTACTCTTAAAAAATATAACTGCGGAGATAACCTTAAGAAAGATAACATTTTTTTTATTTTACGAATATTAATTTATAGATGAACTATGTAGATTAAATGTAATATGCCGTGTATCAATATATAATTAGATTTCCATTGGGTTTGCAAAAACATTTCGTTTTATTTTTGAAGTTTATCGAATAATACATAAAAGAATGCATGGCATGTATCTACAACGATCGCTTTATGATATTTTAATACATATTTAAAAGATATAAATAGAATTTAGACTTTAAACTGTTGATATAATTGTAGAATTTTTCCATTCTACGTCCATACGAAATAGATCAATGTATGATACGAGTTATGAGTGAGTGTTATGTCGTTCTAGGCTTAATTATACGAAAATTAGCGCAGTCATGGACGCAGCTATCCACGCGATAAAAAAGTTAACTCCTCCTCGAGAACGTTTACGAGCGATTTCATCGAGTTGTCAGAATTTTTTATAGTAATAATGATAATAATGTCACGGCTGACTTTATTTAACTGTTTATAAAATTCTACAAGGAATATTGCCAGATATATTCTTTTCCTTCCGCTGAAAAAAAAGTAATGGATATAGATCATAAAAAATTGAAAATATAAATAACGGAAAGATATTTTTCGATGCTGCAATTTTCGATGGCACAATCGGAAAAAATGTTATCCAAATATTTATCCAAGTATTTTTTTCTTAAAATAAAGTAACATGTCTGTATTCTTATTTCATAATACATTAAACAGGTTAATGAAATCGGCAAATTATTTCTGACTCAGGAAACGACAACATAAAGTCTTTTATCTTTTTATTTGAAAAATTTTTGATTTTATTTGATCGAAATCGCGTAATAGTAGCTTGTTATTCCACTATTTATTCTTTGATAAAAATTGAGTACTCTAACGGAGATTCGATTATTAACGAAAAAGATAATGTTTCTGCATTTAGCAAATAAATTTAGAACAGTGAAATATATTTCGGGAAAATTAACGTGCTTCTACATACGTGATAAAATAGCGAATAATAAAATATTGCAATATTAATTGCTAGAATTCCCCGTAGGCAATAGTATAATGAACGTGACGCAATCGCATAGATATTTGATTTAAGCACATGCGGACAAGAAAAAAAAAGAGATAAAAACTAGGTTATATATAAAAGATTGACAATAATTTTGTCGATAATATGTGTAAGCATTTGAGAAACATTGACCTACGTTGAACTCATTAAATGACATAAAAAAACGTTCGCATAATAGAAAGTTATGTAAAGGAGGAAAAAGGAAGATAAAAGATAGAAAGAAAGAGAGAGAGAAAGAGAGAGAAATTTCTCTTGATGGCTTTAAATATGTATACATATGGGTATATTTTTTGTTGTAATTAATTAAATAGTTGATAATATATTTAATTGATTCATAATAATTAATAGTTAATTAATTTATAATTATTAATAGTTAATTAATTTATATTTATAAAGAAATAAACTATACAAATTTTATTCTCTCCATCTCTCTCTCTCAAATTTGAAACAAAGAAAGAGAAACAAAGAGAACATAGTAAAAAATTAATTATAAAAATGTAAACAAATTATATTTTAAATGAACAGATGTAAAAATAAAGAAGCCAAATCAATTTTAGCCAAAAAGTTATTCGCAAACCGTAATAATTTCACGAACTATAAACGAACTGTAGCGACTCTATCGTAATTCAAGCGCAGACAAAAGTGTGAAAAAGCAATTGAAAATTAAACGGTAGAAAAATGGGGTGACACTTGCTTAGAATTCATTTTTTCCTTGATTCGTTTAAAAACGAAGGAAAAAGAGAGGATCGAAAGAGAAAAAAAGACGAGAAAGTGGGAGGTCTGATTAAAGTATTCGCGAGAGTGACGAGGACATATCACGAGGATCACGTGGCGTCAAGAGAGACGGCGAGTAATAGTCGCGGGTGAACGCGAGCGAGACAGAGCGTCGAATCAAGACAAATAGACGGAGAAAGACAACGAGACAGCACGACTGGGTCCCGACTTCAAAGAAGCGGAGCAATTACGTCAAACGCCCGTCGTTTTCTTCCTCGCTGTCTCTCTTTCTCCCGAGCCTCGTCAATTTTAAACGACACTATTGTGTCGACAATCGTAAAATACTCGGGCAACACCGTCGCGAGCGAGGATTCGCGCGAGAACGCTCCGAAAATACTCACCTCCTCTTTTCCTTGTGCTTCTTCTCCTTCCTGTAGGTGTCCATGATGAGCCACGACGAAGGGACGTTACACCAGCGCACAAAACCGGGACACTCTCGGTCACTGCCAAGGAACGTATCCGGCGCGCGCGTTCCTCGCGAAAGAAGAGAGCTTCGGCTTCTTTTTTTATTTTATCGATCGACGTAAACCTCGTTTCTTCTCACTGCACTCTGTCCGCCGCGGGTCGCGCCTTCTCTCTCGCTCCTTCACCGTCTGTTTGTCTATCTCGACGTCGGTATCGGGATCGATGCGCGGGTATCACTCACTGTTCAACGCGTTGCACCGAAGAACGAGCAACGTCCTGATCCGGGGAACGCACAGGTACCGATATGCACATAACGCGTGTGCGGGTGTCGTCGTGATAACAAATGACGTATGGCGTAGCGTTGATGCTGAAACGTATAGCTACTGACAAACGTGGTGGAACTATTATTATGCGATACACTAATGAGCTCCGCGACGCTAGATTGAGATAGAGTACTACGTACGGTCGCGCGAATGGAATGGAGAATCAAGGGGTGGGAGAGGAGCGCAATTTGACGTCACGCGGCGTCCGAATAAAGCTTCGCCATCTGGCGGCGCAGCGTGGAAGCTATCGACAGATCGCAGCGCGGCAAGCTCGAATGAAGAAGCACTAATCTCTCTCTCTATAAATATAAATATATATATATATATTTACATTTAAATCGAAGTAAACGAGTTTCAAAGAACAGAAAATGAAATAAAGTAGAAATTAATCTTCTGACATTAATAGATAAAATGCCCTCTTGAGAGACAAGATTAATAAATATTTGATCTATTTTAACTTACTTTATATCAGTTTACGGATATAGAAGACTGTAAAATTACTGAAATTATTAATTAAAAGATCAAGTTTTTTACGAGGAATGCAGATTTTCAAGCTGCATTTTTACAGCATTATACAAGATAGATATACAATATACATTATACAAGATAGATTACACAAGATAGCATATACAAGATAAATTTTATAATTAAGATTATTTTAAGATAAATTGTTTTTAAAAAATTATGGAATTATAAGTGACTTATAATCAAAATAATTTGTTTCGACTCAGTATTAATAACTTTGCAATAATATGAAATATTCTTTATCAATTATTTGGATTGTATTGTATTTTTTACTACACTGAATATAATTTCCTTATTTATATTTATTTTTAATTAATAGTATCGCAATTCTTATTATCATTCATGCAAATGTGTAATGTTCAGAAATATATGTATATTTTATGATTTTTCATTTTTTATTTATTTCTGTCAATTCGTATTTTTCAAAAATATTAAACTTATCGAAGATTGATCATTCATTGTTGTATATTATAAAACAAAGTAATAAATGAATAATGTGTAACCAAGTGTAAACAAGTACTTTGGGCCTTAAAGAGTTGCAAGGAAAAAAACAACTGACAGAATTTATAAGATCTTTTTAATAACAGGCAAACATGAAATCTATAAACAACTTGACTGCACAGTTGTATCCAAACTTACCATAAATCCACTAATCACTCTACACAAATACGCTTTTACATTTAAATCTCTCTTAATCTGATAATTTTATGAAATATCAGAAATAACTGTGCATTTCATGTCTTTTTTAAGCTATTCATTTCATACATCACTTTTGTTCAGGTTAGAGAGATCTTTCACGTTTTAAGTCTCATTATCTATGCGTTGTAAAAACGCATTTTGCAAATACTACCTACACCACAATATTACAAGGTGATATTGTGTCTTCTCAATGAAATAGATATTCATTAAAAGAAGAGAAAAGGACATCATAACATCACCTTGAAACAAAGCAAAGTATATAAAGCATACGTAACATATTCAATTAGTCTTAGCTCGCTCTACTTCTTGCTTTGTACTCGAAGTGTTCACTCTCTTCTCAGTTGTCATTTCCAATATTTCGTCCTGACTAGCAACAATGACCTTCTTCTTTTCCTCGCTGGAACCCGATGACTTCTTGTCTGTTTCTTCAACCTCCTCCGTTTCATCGTCTAGATCGTCAGTCGGCGCACCTTTACTTTCATACAATGCCGGATACTGCAACATGCAGTCCTGCATTGTTTCGAATACTTTACGACATTCAGAGCCCTTGGGATCCGCAGTCGAATAATGGAAACAGGAGAAAGCCTCGCGAAACTCTAATCCACACGGCCCAGTCGCCATACCACCTAGACACGGGCAATTCCAGTTGATCTCACCGTTAGGTAGCAGCAGGCCAGGAGCAGGTTCCGGATCCGGTAAATTGATTTTGCTAGGTACCGCGTGATCCTCTTTAGAGGCGAAAATAATGGTGTCCTTGCCCTCCTTGCGAATTAACGGCATGATTAATGTCCAGAAGAAACTACTTCTCCGTGATTATAGGTCCTACTATCAGCAGTGAAAGACAATAAATTCCGTGATGCTCGGTGCACTGTATACACGCACGTCTCGTTCTCGTATTTGGTGGCTAAAGTCAAGGAGGTTCGTAGCTGCGTATAAAAGTTAGATGGACAGCGCACGATAAATCTGCGCTTTGCAGGGGTATACTTTAAAATATCTATTGGATTCTTGGCTCCCTCTTCACCGCAAAGCTGCCGAACGGCTTCAAGAATGTTTTTCTTCAAGTATACTAGAGTTATCTCCAGATCAGGACAGAGTGGATGTTCTCTAAAAATAAAAAACAGATATAATTACGGTTTATTGCATTTTGTTATAATAAACAAATAAAAGTGCAATTTCTTGATTATCAGTTCTTTTTATAATAAACTTACAAAATATTTGAATGTTTTTATTATTGTCAATAAGAAAGAAATATTTATTTAGTTCTTCTCAAAGTTAATTTAATTTTTCGCAAGATATTTTTGATAGAGATTTAATGACTTTAAGATTAATTTTAATAATGTTACAATTTTTCTTTTCAAAATTAATAGAGCCATGCAAACAAGAAAAGATATATAATTTAAATGAAAAAAGTACTAAACATTTTTGACACTGAATCGAAAAATTGCAAATTCGGTCAATTTGCAGGCGATTAAGTTGATAAAAAAAGATTATCAGAAATCAACAATAAGCTACATTTTTTAAAAAGTAACGTGCAAAGAGAAATCCTTCCCATAACGTAGAGTTGCATCATTCACGGAACTGATAATCATCATAGTATTCATACATGTACGAAGATAAAGTACAATTCGAGAAGCGTGCGTGTAGGTTATGTTTCACGGACTAACCAAAGTCGCGTCCATGTGATATAATGAATGTACTAACATAGAAATATCTAAGTAACGCATCTTACACGGAAGTGTGGTCTCGTCACTCATATCGCGACCCTGCATCGAACAACAGATATCGCAAAAGGTACGCGGTACTTACGCACGGTGCACTTACACGGCGGCGTCTGATTCACTCGCCTTCACGTGCCTTTACGTGATAGTAGCGCCAATTCAGGCCGCAGTGCTGCCACACAAATATACGAAAAATCAAAAATCGAACTTGAAAAATTTTCTCCGCGAAATTTATGCATAAAGAGGAGTTTTCCGTCTTCCTTTTAGCTATTTTTAGAAAATTTCCTCTTCTTTTGCGATATACTATACTCCTGGACAAAATTAACGCATAATTTCTTTTCTCTTCTTTTTTAAAATTTAAATATCAGCTTTTAAAGAAAAAGTAAAAAAAAATTATGCGTTAATTTTGTCCAAGAGTATACATCTATTTCATTTCAAATGCAAGGTAAAGGAATTTCAAATTTAATTTTATGGATTTGTTTGCGAAGGCGATTACATGATTACTCCGATATGTTTTATCTGGTAAATAATACAAAAAACAAATTTAAACAAATATTATAATCCGAGAAAAGAATCTAAATGTTTCACTCGCAAATTTGACATTTCTATTTCCTGTCAAAATACACATAGTACACATGGTATATAGATACATTCTGAATGAAGCGAAAAAGAAAATGAATTAATATCAAACAGCACATGTGTGAATAAACAAACAGATATACTTACGAATACGGAGAGAATCACTCGAGTGGTGAAAGAAGAAATTGGACTCTCGTCATTTCCGGAGCGTGTAAACCCGGCATTATCCGGCCGACGATCGACCACGCGCAAACTGTCGGCGAATGCAATTCGCCCATCGGGTGGGGAAGCCCGTCGAGGGTCCCCCAGGAGCTCGGCTCTCAGTCGCAGCTCGGCTGTCTGTGCGCGACGATCGAGCCGCGCGTTTACCTGCCTCCGCACCCAAGCACAGGCGCACGTCACATTGTCGCGCGCGCGCGCGCGTGCAGACGCGTACACATACATACGTGCGTCGCGGTGGGACGTGCCCGCACGTCCGTACGAGCGAGACGAATCGCACCCGCGCGGGGGTGGCACCCTGGAGAGTTTTCGTGCTACGAACGTCGCGAGAAGAAAAGGACGAGGGGGGGAAAAGGGGCGAAGGGCGGAGAGACGATTCTCTCGAGGAACGAAGGGAAACGAGACCGGGGACCCATGCGTCGCGCGACGTAGACGCCGCGCCGCGTCTATACGACGGCGCATACTCACACACGCGCAAAACACACAGGCGTACCCACGGACATACGCGAGCAAACCGCACGCTACTACGCCCAGTCAGTCGGACGTCGGCTCGGGCCCGACGATACACCCCGACGATACGCTATCGCTCTTACGCACTGACGTTTCCCACGGTTACGCCACGCGGCTTCACGGAGGTCCCCGAGAAGGTGACACGCGGTGGGACTGATTTCGCGAGCGGGGAGAAAGAGACGGGCGTCAACGGCGACCGGGTTGCCGCGATCCGGGTCCTCGAGCAGCTCGTGACAGTGAAGTGAAGCACGCGTGAAGGGCATATACGAAGGAGGGACGAAGAGAGAAAGAGGAAGACGGAAGGAAAGGGAGAAAGAGCGAGAGAGGAAAAGGGTAGGGGAGCGAGGAAGAGGGCTGCAGGACGCGACGGGTGGTCCTGACAGCGAGCGGTGACAAGAAAGAGGACCGACCGTTCTGGATAAAGCGAGCGTTAAACGCCGGGGATTAATCGGGACCCCGTATGTAATTGGCACGCTAAAACGAGCTTCTCGTTTGAAACGAGGGAGAGAGAACACATGCGATAGAATCTCTTTGCTTATTACGCGCTGGACTTGTCTCGGAAGCTTTCCCTCGGTGTTGGATATATCCTCTTGGTCCAACCCTTGGCTAAGGCTACCGCGAGGCGATGAGCTGTAATCTCATTCTCCGGCTCGTTCGTGAATGCATGAATTTAGTCGGGGAGTATCTTGGTGGTCGTCATTGACCGCACCGACAAGCTTGTTCCCGTCATCATCATTGACAGCAAGCCTCACGTTCTCATCGGCAAGAAGAAATTTCTCGAGCGCAACGAGATAGTCGCGTGCGCCAACTTTAACCGACGAGCCTCGACGACGGAGCGACATCGAAACGTTGGCCGAGACGACGGGCAACAGCGAACCCCATCGTTGGCGAAAATCATCGCGAGAGATCCGCGTCATGAAGGCCTAGCGTCCGACACCGTGGGTCATCGTGGGTCGTCAGCGTCGGGCGTGCAAGAAGGGACGGCGGCGCACCGGCGGAAGCCCGGATAGTAGGAGGAGGAGGAGGCACCCGACAACATGGCCGCCGCCTGCTACGAGAAGGAAGTGGTGGTAGGTGCCGCCGTACACCACGGACACGGTCACCACCATCATCATCATCATCACCATCATCATCATCACCATCATCACGGCAGCAGCGCCGTCGCGTCGTCCGTCGGCGGGGTGGCCGGACAGACAGTGCTGCCGGCGACGTCTACCGGTCTCGACGACGCCACCGTCGTCGCCGCCGCGGCTGCCGCTGCCTCCTCCGGCAACTCATCGTCGACCACGGTGAACGCCGTCAACCCGACGACGACGAGCGCCGCGGCTACGGCGGCCGCGACCGCCGCCGTGGCGATCAACAACTACAAGGTGCAGGAGTACATGCAGCCGCTCCACGTGGACTGCAGCGTCGAGTACGAGCTGCCGAGTCAGGCGAAACCGCCGCCCGGTGGCGGCGAACCCCTCCTAATGATCCATCCGTGCTACTATCGACGCGCCGAGCGCGAGAGGAGGAGCCCCTTTGTCAATAATCTGCCGCCGCCGGCGGCACCGACGACGGCGCCCATGTCCGCCTCCCGCAGAAACGGTCGTAGGAGCGGAGCCGCGACGGCATCCGCGACCGCCGCTTCCGGCGGCGTCGCCGCCGTCACGGTCGCGACCGCGGCGATCGCGATCGCCGCTGCCTCTTCCTCGACGACTACGACGGTCGTACCGCCGTCCAACAACAATGTCGCTTCCACCAACGTCGTGTCTACCTCGGTCGTGTCGCCGTCGACGTCCATCGCGTCGTCCTCGGTCGCCGCGGCGGTGGTAGCCGCCGCGGACTCTGGCACCGGTCTGATACCCACGACCCACGGTCAGATGTCCGCCGTCACCATGGCGGCCTCGTATCGCGCGGCGCTCAACGTCGCGGCCACGTTGTCTCAGCAGCAGCAACAGCAGTCTCAACGGCGGCATCATCCCCAGCAACAGCAGCAGCAGCAACAACCGAGTCACCATCATCACCATCATCATCATCGGAACCACACGCACGCTCATCATCATCAGCAGCAGCATCACAATCAGCAGCAGCCGCAACAACGGTCCGTGACCCCAACGGCTTCCGGGACGGCCGACCTCATCTCCGCCGATGAGAAGGCAGTCATATCAGGTATTTATCAGCATTACTTCCGCGCCATGCGCGCCCACAATCTTCAACACCGCCAGCAACAGCAACAGCAGCAGCAGCAGCAACATTGCACCAGCGCGACTCATCAGCTCCATCATCAACCTCACCAAAGCGACCGAAGTTCCTCCTCTTCATCGTCGGTCACGTCCCCGACGTCCGCGTCGATCTCGGGTATCCTACGACAGTCTTATCAGCAGGCGTACAGTAATATCGCGGCTGCGAGCTCGAGCTCGAGCCACCATCGCGTCGGCACATCGGCGGTCGTCCATCATCCTTACAGGCGACCGTCGGCGACGTTGCTGTCGCGGGCGGCTTCGCATATCGGTCAGCAGGCCTCCTCCTCCTCGTCATCCTCCTCCATCTCCTCCTCCTCCTCCATATTCGGTGCTTCCAACGGCGTCTCCGCCGCGGCCGGCGTATCTAGCGTTTACGCCAGCACGATACACAGGCATCACGCGACCTCCTTGCACGCCCTTCAAACCGCCGCCGGCTTCTACGAGACGCCGAGCTACCACGCTCTCCTGCCCCAAAGTTAGACGATGGTCAAGTGCGATTACACGGTGTGTTGGGTCTCTACGCGTAAACAACCTGCAACAGTATCAAGAGTAATCATGGTTGTGCTATTATGAGTCGAGGCGAACGCGATAGATTCTCGCAAGCCGTCTCGGAACTGCTCCTCGCGTCTCCCCTTTCTCTCTTATCTTTTGTCATCAGGTGCTCGATGAAAGTTGATCAAATTCGACGATGAGGGCGAGGGCAAGATCGGGACGGGCAGTCTCCGAGACTCTCTCGCTACAGATCAACAAGGTGGCAATTTTTTAGACGATTTTACTCAATAGACGCGTTTCCGCGGCTCATAGTATCGCGGAGGGGATGACTGTCAAGTCACTTGACATCGGATGCAAAGTTACGCGGGTTGTCTGTACCGAATACATGCCCGATATTTATATTTTTCATGTGTAGATTGTGCATGAACTATCACTTTACGCGTAATTCACGTAGACGACAGATAATCGATGTAGGCGACGCTTATAATGATGCCTATGCCGCGTTGTCCTCTGCCCTTCTTCTCTTCCCCCGCCTCTCTTTCTCTCAAACTGCATTTAAGAAAACCGATCGTTTAATAACCGATAATTTATAGTTGTCCTATATGATATTGTTTTCCCGGATATACCCGAGGAACCTCGATCAATATCGGAAACAAAGCGATTATCGTTACTGTTGCAGTTTCGTTTCGTGTTTGTCGACGGTTTTATATACATAATTAAAGTACGAGAGTGACTTTACGCGAATAGTCTAACAGGATGGCGAAACAAATAATAGATTTCGATAAAAAGCATGCTATAAAGAAAAAAAAAACAACAGACTACCCAGCAAACACAGAATATTGCAGCAATCTTGCTATTGTTGTTACACTGCAGCAATATTGCAGGAACATCGAAATATTGCTGCAATGTAACAACAATGGTCCGTGCTGTATGGGAATCTCTCGAGTGCTAAATTCGGAAGTTCTTCGCGCATACTCGATAATCTCGAATAATTTCCTCCCCCTCGCCCCCTTTCCCGAATCTAACCCGGGCTACGATGGTAGGTAGCCAAACGTCGTCGACCGCGATATACGTCGTTTAACAGAGTCGTTTTTACAAGCGGTCCCTTTTTTCGACACATCCGCCTGCTGAAGACACTACGCCTCGAACGACACAGTTCGGACAGTTTTATATACATGGACAGATGCGTAGTATGTGCTACGGTTCCCACAGCCGCTTGCTCTTCCTCGGCGCGAGCGAGAATTTGCAGACGAGTATTCTCGACGACGATCTAAATGGTGGACTCGGTCTCCTTCGTCGTGACGAGGGCGGTTATATCGGATTATGACCCGGGGTATCCGGGTTCTGTTCGCCTTCTCGATGTGGAGCCACTTTAATCCGCAGAGAAAACCCGCGCCCGTTCTCTCTCTCTCTCTCTCTTCCTCCTTCCTCCCTCTCTCTCCCTCTCTCTCTCTCTTTCTCCTCCATTTATCTCTCTCTCGTACGCTCTGTTCCGTGCGACTTATCATCTCGATCGTTAAAAGTGCATGCGGGTGGGTCTATAGCGCGCATAGTCGGCATAGGGTACATCTGTCTCCCCCTGTGCGCATGTATGGGGTGTCCCGAAAGAGCAGCGAGAGACAGCCGTAATAAATCGGTGATACCTCCTCTTGATTTATTACGATTCGTATTTACGGGAAGAATTAATTTTAATGTAAAAAAAACGCGTACACACACGTAAAATTACGCCAACAATAAGCGCATGATAAATTAATGGAAATGTTATACATTTCTATTATGTAATTTTGTAATGTTTTTTGCAGTGACAGGTGTTTTAAAAGTACGGTGTGAGATCTTGTCGGCTTTGTAAGGCTCTTACTTGCACGATGTTAGTTTACGATGCTTTCAAAAGAAGAAACAGCTGACTAATTGCAATTAGCGTTAAATGATGTAGGAATTAATTTAATTAGAAAAAACCAAATATATTATAAAAGCGTTAAAAACCAAAATATATTATAAGCGATCCTCCTCTATCGATCAATCATGACTAGATTTCGTCTTTAAAAAATTATCCTCGAATGCTATTTTTCTCTCGCTGGTATTTAATTTCATTGCGAATCGAGACGAAGTCTCGCGTTAACATTCCATTAAATCGGAATCTTCCGAATTTCCGAACGTCCACTCGAAATCGAATTAAACGCGCCTCGGGCGACGCGTGTTTGCCAAAGTCCGACTTCACCGGAGTCATCCTTCAACCGCTCCGAGACGAGGGTAACCAACCATCCTTCTTCATCGTCGCGCCGTCGTTCCTCTCTCGTCTTCCACTTCGCCCTTTTACTTGGCTCTTTCCGAGCGAACATTAAGCCGCTTCGATTCGGGGAAGTCTCGAGTTCGCGGGTTCGAGACACCCTGTATAATCGCCGTCGCGCCGACACAACGACCGTACGTGCCGCGTTCGTTGTTGACGGTGAGCGGGTGGCCGGACGGGCACCGAATAAACACACGTCGTGTGCACACACACACACACACACACGCATACACCACGTACACACGCACACAGACATGCGGTAGGCTTCACGAACGAGGGAGGAAGGGGAGGGCAGTTGAAACGATCGTCGCTCGTACACACACGTGAGGTTCCATCCACCTGCAATGAGCGCGCGACTTCAGGTAGAGAAAAGAAATCCCCGTTTGCTTAGGGCCGCATTAGCATCTACTAACGTTCTCCGGGGCCGGCGTTTTCGGGCCCCGCCGTCGGACCCTCGAGAAGAGAACTCGTGAGATGTCGTCCCCCCCCCCCCTCCTCTTCGTTCCCGGCGTTTTCTCTCCTCGTTCGCTCCTCCATTATTCAGTATCCTCCAGAAGAATAGAGGACGTCGCCCGTATTCTTGAAGGATGGACAGCACGCTCGGTTTTCGAGGCTCTCTCCGGTTTCACGGTACTCCACGTGGAGCTGCTACGGTATTCGCAGTTCCGTCATGAGGAATCCTCGTCGGTTTTCGGGATGTCGCTCTGGAGAGTCCTCTCGTACATGGATAAATTTATCCTGCTCTTCAGGCACGCAAGAAGAAAGATTACAACATTCGTATATATCATTTGCAGAAGGATTTGTGATCCCATGAATCCTCGAAGTCGCGAATTTCTATATTTGCAATAAAAGCCACAAATTTTTAGATACACCTGAAAAGGAAACTTGGATATCGATGTTTCATCGCAGATATTAAAAGACGTATTGAAATAGCACGAAAACTAAAGAAACAAACTCCTTCCTCACATTTCAAAATTTTTTTATAAAAATAATGCCTCGAATTTGGATATCAAATTTGTGGAATCTACAGTTTTATTTAGATATTTGAATTTTACGAATAGCATTGAGCTTGTGCAATAGACTCTAATTTTATTACAGACTTAAAAGGTATGTCACGCTTTATTACGCTCTTGGCGTAAATAGAAAAAAGTATTTTTTCCACGGGATTTTTCAAATTCAAATATCTTTTCGAACGATCATATAAATCGAAAATTCGGAAGGAGAATGATAAAGACGTATGATGTAAAAGCCATCGTGAATACCTGTAATGGAATAAATCTGACTTGGTGGTGTTCGATTCCGAGACCCGCCTCGCGATCGTTTACCTTCACCGGTAGATTTATTAGTGGCGTGATTCATTCGTCGGGATGATGGCTTTTCGCAGTTCGACCCATCTGCGACGGACTTGAGGCCCAGGTATAAATTCAGGTCGTTTATTTAAGCCTCGCGGCGCTTTTCTTGTCAGAATCTCTCCCTCCCCCCCCCCTTTCTCTCTCTCTCTCTCTCTCTCTCTCTCTCTCTCTCCTCTCTCTTTCTCCGTTCTCTCGGGGCATCTCTTTCTCGATCTCTTTCGAATTCCTCGCCTCCATTATTCAGCGTTTCCAGCCGAGCGACGTCGCTGTTTAGAGAGCGAAAATCGATGCCGCGATGACGCGATCGACGCCAAATGATAAGCATCATTGTACCTCTTGCCAGCGACAGTTGTCGGATGATAACGACCGGTCGTTTCCAATCGATTGGTAGTTTCAGCGTAATAAAGCCTTTTTTCGTCCCCTTCTTCTCGATTTTTTGCAAATAAAATTTTAATTTGACTTCATAAGTGAATCACTGCACGATTATGGCATGTAAAAATATACCCCCCATTTTGATATACCAGAGAAAAAGCGGGGCTGCTGTCTATATGCCGTAACTTTATCGAGTTTAAATTTATACCAAGTTATAAAGTTATAGTTCATTGCGTAGTGTGTGTTCATTTAGGGGAAACAAATAGGGGAAGCATTTATCAGCCCCTTCTTGGTCGCGCGCCAGGGTTAATTATTCGAGTTCTGGAATTATCCCTCTTCTCTTTCCCGCGGGAAAGATATAATCCGAGGTTTAATCCTCGGCAGAACCGAGTCCTGACGTATAACACGGCCAACTGATGGCGCGGCTCATTTATCGTTCGAAATTCGAGAATTAGTCGCGAAAAATGATCCGGGGTGTCGCGAAACTTGAAACTAACGATACGTTTCTGGACTACTTGGCACGAAAATTGAAAATTCACATAAACGTCGTTACGTGTTAAACCGATGTAATTAACGTCGCTCGGTTTCGGGTCAAGTCGAGAGAGAAGCGAGCGAAGATGTAAGATTACGATTCCTTTTGCAGAGAGAAGAGCGAGCGCCTTTAGTCGAGGGAGGACGAAATTGTCGCGATGCAATTAACGACAACGAGCGACAGACGCGACGGAAAAACGACGTTCGCTCGAGATCGAGATATCCGTCTCGTGACGCTTAAAACAGCAATTAAAAGCTCGTTATTCACCGTCCATCTATTAATTATTCAAGACACCGACCGGGCGTGTCGCGCGAAAGCGGAAACTCCGATTCATGATTCGTCCCGAACGTCCAGGATGATCGAACATCACGATGAGGATAAGCTCGCTCCTCCTAGTATTGTGTCATTCCTCGCGCACCTGAAACAGATATTTGTGCGTATTATGTCTGCTTTAGTGACAATAATAGTCTGAAAAGAATTCAATTGTCTGTAACACGATTAATGCCTCCAAGAGAGAACAATTAAAATTTTCAAGAGATCTAAAGTGAATTGTCCTAGGGCTTTGTAAATTGTCTTCGAGAAAAAATACATACTTTTTAGAGCTATAATGTATGTAAATCAATGTAGAAAAATTTTTCAATTTTTGGAAAAGTTCGCTAAAGATTGGGCCGTCGAAAGCGGAAACTCCGATTTATGATTCGTTCCGAACGTCCAGGATGATCGAACATCACGATGAGGATAAGCTCGCTCCTCCTAGTATTGTGTCATTCCTCGCGCACCTGAAACATTTGGTATTTGTGCGTATTACGTCGGCTTTAGTGACAATAATAGTCTGAAAAGAATTCAATTGTCTGTAACACGATTAATGCCTCCAAGAGAGAACAATTAAAATTTTCAAGAGATCTAAAGTGAATTGTCCTAGGGCTTTGTAAATTGTCTTCGAGAAAAAATACATACTTTTTAGAGCTATAATGTATGTAAATCAATGTAGAAAAATTTTTCAATTTTTGGAAAAGTTCGCTAAAGATTGGGCCGAGCGAAAGCGGAAACTCCGATTTATGATTCGTCCCGAACAGGATGATCGAACATCACGATGAGGATAAGCTCGCTCCTCCTAGTATTGTGTCATTCCTCGCGCACCTGAAACAGATATTTGTGCGTATTATGTCTGCTTTAGTGACAATAATAGTCTGAAAAGAATTCAATTGTCTGTAACACGATTAATGCCTCCAAGAGAGAACAATTAAAATTTTCAAGAGATCTAAAGTGAATTGTCCTAAGGCTTTGTAAATTGTTTGCGAGAAAAAACATGTTTTTTAGAGCTATAATATGTAACCTAACCAATGTAGAAAAATTTTTCTATTGTTGGAAAAATTTGCTGTAGATGGGATTCCTAGGAAGAACCACAAGTACTTCTTCTTCCGAAAGATCCGTGACCGATGCAAAGGATCACGAGGACAGCGGGCGGTCGTTTTCTCATTATGACTTGGTCTTTCATTTGGCAAAGGGAACAGGATATTAAAATCGTCACATTTTCTTACTTATCCATTTTTTTTATCTATATAACTGTAAAACGATGTGTTAGGCGTTCTCCAGCCAGATATTTCTAGCGGATTAGATGCACGCTATCGTTGTTTGTCTCGTGCTTAACGCCGTACAGGTTTCTAACATGAAGACTCTCCAGTGTTCTAAAATCTATCCGTATTCTTAAAGCGCGGCCGCTCGCTAAACGACTTAACACGTGACCGACAATCATCTTAACATCGAGCTCTCTGACGTTCCGCGTTTTTTTCCCGTCGCGTTCATCGGACAAAAAAATCCACTGACGTACGAACACTAAAACGTCATTACGATACAGCTGATTCTGTTTAAACGTTTGAATGCAATAATTGTTGTACTTTAATGTTGCCTTTATAATTGTTTACAATAACAAAATTATTTTATTTTCCCTGATAAAAATTTACGAAGATCAAAACTCGTGACGATTAAAAATTTAAATATAATAATAATTATATTAGTTTAATTCTATCTTTATAATTGTAAAGTTTACAATAGTAAAATAATAAAATTATTTTATCTTCATTGAAAAAGATTTATAGAAACTCGTGACGATTAAAAATTCAATTTTTTGTTACATTAAAGTGGAACTTAATAATTACTTTATTTTAATGTCGAAAGAAAGATTCGTGTTGATGAAATTGAAGTATTTTTGGAAGAAAGGTGAAAAGAAAAGATATCTTTATGTAATCTTAAAGTAACAACAAACGAAGCAGAGACACATCTTACATTTCGTGAATTGCATCTTTCATACATCGCATTTTTGTTGCTCATGCTACGAGGCTTTTGTATTTTGAAGCATTCGTCTGTGAACGTTATCGCTATCAAGATAAGCATCAATCACCCAGCCACGAAAGCGCATAAAATTATAATATACAATTCGTATCTCTCTTTTACGATTCAAATTTTTTTTACAGCACTTTCTACATAATTTAAATTATTTATGGAAGCAAACGCGCTCCCATTTTCCAGGCGTAGACACGAGTAATTTTTCGCTTTGATAAATAAAAACAAAACTATTTGGTTCTGTTTCATCAATACGCATTCCTCCAATTGATTCAAATCGTTTTTTTACGGCGCTTTTTATTTATAGAAGCAAATTTTTCCTATTATCAGTTTCTACAGCGAATAATTTTATTCGCATTCTTTGCGGTACGCTTCGATAAATAAAAACGAAACTATTTATTTCGCTTTATCCATACAAAGATCGATATCGCATAATTACAAACTTTCAATAGGCGATTCCGACTATTGTCGTGTATTTCTAACAAAGCAACTAACATGACAATATGTTGAAGTAAAAATTGAAATTGGGCATATTTGTCATTTATATATCATTCTCTATTATTTATAAAGGCATCTTTTATCTTTTTGACGTTTTCACGAGATAAAAATATCATGATCGATAACGTCAAGCTTGGAAAAGCTTTCTCGATATGAATACGTTAGCTACGTGCTTAGGAAATAATGTCAAATCGTATGTCTCTCTTCTCTCTCTTCTCTCTCTCTCTCTCTCCCCTCTCCTCCCCCCCACACACACATCTGTCGCTAAATGCATGATATGAATGTGGGCCTTTGAATCTGCGGAGATCAAATCTCAGACTCCTGTTTCCTGCAGGCCCATCCGCCCTCACTCAGTGACGTAACTACCGACCGTACATCCTCGCATGCATACGCGCACAATACGTACGCGACGCACGCACACTCCTTTCGTGAAGCAGTACAAATTCGTTACGAGTAAAAACCTACAATTCTGGAATATTAACGAACGTTTCTACGTAGCCCGACGTTGATGAACTTGCTAAATTCTGACACTCGAGCCGCGGAGCGTTCCATCTGCTTCCCTCCCTCCCCTCCGCGTCTCCACTCCTTTCCCCCTTTTTTTTCACCGCACTTTCGTCTCTTTCCGCGAAATCCTTTTTTTTGCAGCTCTCTCTCACGTCGCGGCCGCGGTACAGGAAATGGAAACGGCGGCTGCGTCGCGTCATAGTCATCGTGGTCATTCTACATATCTGTCGCTCTCTCTCCTTTCCTCTTTCGCTTCCCTCCGTTCCCCTTTCTCTCTCCCCCCTCCCTTCTCCTCACCGTCCCTCGCATCGCAGCTCGCCCTCTCTTTCTCTTCCCACCTTCCTCCTCTTTTCCGTCCCGTGTTCTCGGCGTGGCGCATCTCTAGAAACCCGAGCGACGTCCGAGCCGGCTCGGGTTTCGTCTTTTTTGTCCCGCGCCCGCCCTTTTCAAAGCGCGCGCTCAAGGAGAAACGGACGTAGGGACCAAGAGCAGGAGGGAGGCAGAGGGGAAGCGGGAAGGGAAGACCGTGTTTCGTTCGTTACACGGTAACGATCGATCAACGTGACCGCACGACCGCACCGAGCAAACCGCGACGAGGAAGATAGAGATAGAGATAGATAGCGAGAGAGAGAGAGAGAGAGAGAGAGAGAGAGAGAGAGTCGGGACTGATTGAGGCTCATCGAGGGGTAAAGGGGTGCATTCAAGATGGGGATCGGTAGCCGAGGAAGCCCTTTCTCTCATGGTCCGACACGAATTTTCCAAATATTTCGATCAAAAGTATCAGTCGTTGCCCTCATCCCCGACTGTCAATCTCGGAACCCCAAATTTTGATAAGATCCCGTTGCGTGCGGCATTTGATATCAATCCGGTCTTTTGTGTTCGAAAATGAAAGATCGTTTCCCTGGCTTATCGATGCAATGTTTATTTTGGGACTAATCATCAGAATTTTTCGATGACACGTGGGACAGCATTTCGAAGCTAGAAAAATATATCTTGCTCCGTTTTTTAAAAGCTTTTATCAAATATATTTGCAAAAATAAACACGTTCTTGATTTTTAATAAAAATTAAAACCATTAAGGTATAATTCATTTCGCAGGCAATATTAGCCTGTACTATATATAATAGTTTTGGAAAAAAGGTCGCTCGGAGTGTTTATTTAATCATCCCGGGCGTATCTCAAAAAGTCATTAGCACACTCGCGCGTTTCGCAGAAAGAGCCGTCGGATTTAACCGCGTCCGTAATTTCCCTCGTGCCGGGTCGGCTTTTGCCTCGTGAAAAATGTACGGAATCTTGAAAGAGGATCGACGGGCACTTTGGAGGGCACAATGGCACGGGGTCGAGAATGATTCGCGAATCGGTAGCGCCATTGTGGAGGAAAAGGTACGGGGGAAAACTGCCTAGAAAAGTCTAGGAAAATCTATTCTAATTCCCCTCTACTCTTACCCTGCGATTCCTATCGATCGGAAATACACCATTGATTCCCGATTGTTATTTCAAATGCCCTCCCTGCAGAAAAAGCGCTCTAAAAATCCTAAAAACAGACTGGAAAAGTTTGAAGAAGCAAAAAATAATATCAGCAAAAAATAAAACTGAAAAAGTAAAATAGAGAATTTTAAAAAAATATCTCCATAAATATTTATGGTATATAACATAAATATAACACTATAGTGATGATTTATATTAAATTATTTTCCTGTCAATTTTTGTATCAATTGTCAAAACTTTTAGTGCTATTTTAGATATTCGAGCATACTCGAAAATAGCATGTTTTTTGTTTTGTGTTCACTTGTTTATTTTTCGATTGTTGAGAAAAATTTGTATCCCCCAAACAGAATTTCAAAGGAGAAAGTCAAATTACTACAGCCGACATCATGTAATTTCTATCGTTATTGCTGCGAAAATTTTCCGTTTCAACGTAATTTTCTGTCCTTAAGTATTGCATTCCGCTGATGCTGGCCAATTTTTGCCGATCGTCCAGATCGGTGCCTTTATTTCCACGTGCGCGCGAAAAAAGGAAAAAAAATTTGCCTCGGCGGCGGCGCGGAATTTCCGGGGGAACGAGCTCGGTTTTATCTATCGCTCGAATTATTGACGGGATGTGAGGGAAGCAGGCCGACGGGATATATACAGGGTGTCCGGGAACCGGAGGCGTGCGAACGCACGCAGATGACGGCAGAAATTACTCCATAATTATACGCAGTCGAGAAATGTAATGTTTAAAATTAACCAAGTACAGACGCCACGTACCATCGCCATTAATATTTTCGGAATACGATATCCTAAGCAAGTCGACGTAACATGGATTAAAAAGTTTTTCGACCGTTTATTACCATTAATATTAATTTTCATCAACGCGATTCGAGATTTCGAAGCAAACATTGATTTTGTCATTTGACAAGGAAAATCTACTATTAAAAATAAGAGATTGGAGAGAGAGAGAGAGATAATAGATGATAGAAGAGCGCTGGAAAACTGCTGCAATTTCATCTTTTTTTTTCAAGAAGTAGCTTTAATTTCTTCATTTCCCGGCAAAGTCATCTCCTTTCGCGGACAATTCGTCCCGCTGTGCGCGGAAAAATTCTACGTTTTCCAAGAAAATATTCACCATATAGATGTTTTACTGAGCAATTTCCGGGACCGGTCGTTTCGACCGCACTATTCCTCGATATTGCCGATATTTGAGGAAGCCGGAGAACGATTTTTTTACGCGGCCAACCGGCCGATAGCCGCTGTAGTTATTACGACCCTTCGGGACACGGCTCGGACGTGTATACAGGGTGTCCGAGATAGGCA